ACAAATATTTCCCTGTTTACTCCTTCAAAGAGATATGAAGCTCTCTTCCTACTTCACCACTCCCATGTATTGAAGCTCATGTACTAGCGACAAAGTTTTTCCGTCCGAAGAAAGTTATAGCTTATATGGACACTGGGGCCCAGATTACAATGATGAATCCTAGCATTCTCCTAGCAGAATCATGGGTAACACATGCTGCATACTTTGTAGAAGTAGATGGGAAAGTCTTCAGGACAAATTTAATGACCAAGGAAAAGATAGGAATCAAATTCTTCCCCGACTGCATAGTTTGGACCAAGGTCATTGGAAGTAATCTTCCAAATAAAGATATTGTAGTAGGGAAGGATGTATACTCAGCAGCCAATATACTCCAGATTCTTCCCACGAGATTAAAATTCAAAAGAGAATTCAAATTTTATTCTGGGATATTGAAGTTATATTCACTATCTAAAATCCCTGCTGGATATGAAGAAATCAAGTCCAACCTACTCAAACTCTGTGTAAACAGCCATGAAACATTCTGCAATCCAAAACCTCTATGGAAAAATAAAGACTTTTTTGTTCAACTTCCTTTTAAGCTCAATGAAGATGTTAATCCAACCAAGGCCACTCATCCAGGAATGAGTCCATCAGATTATACATTGGCCAGGGAAGAATGCAACTAGTTGCTCAAACAAGGTCTGATAGAACCCACCAAATCAGAATGGGCTTGCCAAGAATTTTATGTAGAAAAAAGATCTGAAAAGTTAAGAGGAAAAAAGAGGCTAGTAATTGATTATAAACCTCTAAACCATTTCCTCAAGGATGATAAATTTCCTATTCCAAAGGCCTCGTCCTTAAATGTTTTCATCAAAGATGCCCAGATCTATTCCAGGTTCGATCTTAAGTCAGGTTTTTGGCAATTGGGTATCGACCCCGAGGACCATTACAAAACGGCGTTCTACATTCCTAACGCACAATACCAATGGACTGTGTTACCATTTGGGCTTAAGGTAGCTCCATCACTTTTTCAAAAGGCCATGACTAGAATTTTTGAGCCCATTCTCAATAGTATCCTCATATATATTAATGATGTGCTATTATTCTCAAAAGATGAAAAATCCCATAAACAACTATTGGGACAATTCCTTCAAATAGCCCAACGACATGGGATGATGCTCTCTGAGAAGAAAAGCCAATTGGGCCAAACAGAAATTGACTTTCTAGGAATGCATTTTTCCCAAGGGAAGTATCAACCTCAGCCTCATATTGCTCAAGAACTATTAAACTTTCCCGATGAAAAGCTCACTGTTAACCAAATTCAGCAGTTTCTTGGTATAATTAATTATATCAGAGATTTCTTGCCAAAACTGGCAAGATACATGAGTCCTCTATCTCAAATGCTGAAGAAACCCCCCCCCCACCATGGGGAACAAAGAAAACTGAAGCATTAAGAGCCTTGAAAAAGATCGCACAAACCCCACCTGCCTTAAAGATCCCGGGAGACGGTAAAAGAATCTTACAGAGGGATGCTAGTGATCATTACTGGGGAGCCGTCTTCATAGAAGAAATTGATGGAATAAAGTATTACTGTGGTCATGCTAGTGGTCAGTTCAAAGAAGCTGAAAAACATTACCATACCACTTATAAGGAAGCTCTTGCAGTTAAGATGGGTATCCAAAAGTTTGACTTTCACCTGAGAGGCCATCAGTTTGAAGTCCAGATGGATAATTCCTCTTTACCTAAGATCCTCGAATTCAAAAATAAGATGCCTCCTGATCCACAAACTCTTAGGCTCAAAGATTGGTTTTCTAGATATGATTTTATTGTGAAACATATCAAAGGAAATCAAAATGTGATTCCTGATTTACTTTCTAGGCCTATGAAACCCATCCAGATCATTACTACCAAACACACTTTTCCTTTGATTCTCATGGTCAAACCATTGCCAACCCGTGCCTCCAAGACCAAAGACTTTCCTCCAGGAATAAATGTCTCCTCTTCACCCTCACAGCTTAAGCAGTATGCCAGGAATAATCTTTTTTATTATATGACAAAAATCATAAGAAATAAACTCCCTGACCATACTCCTTATTTCCCAGACACACCATTTCTCATACCAATTTTAATAAACCCTAATGCTAAATTCACAAAAAACCATTTATGGTATATTTGGTGTGCCACTGCTTTATATTTTATGCCTTTCCTCATACCCACTGAAGCCATGTATGAATACATAATGGATCCGAAGAACCAAAAATCCTTGATTTGGACTACTCTTGAATGGTACTCTCCGCTAACATGGTGGAGAGATCAATTAAAACCAATCCTAGACGAGGTCAAAGAAAGGAGGTTAGCCTCAGAAGCTATTAGCAGATTCAAGACTGTTTTCTTCATGCACAGGCCCTATCAAACAGATCCTGCCACTAAGTTACTTGGTTATAAGAATTATGTTCATATATGGGAAACCATTGATGATTATCCTCCAAATCTAAAAGTCACAAGAGAATTAATGGAATATGTTAACTTCATCAACCTCCATGAACCAGACAAGATGAATGCTAACTCCACTTGTATAATTCATCAAGCTCAGTATAAAGATTGAGAGGTTGGAGAAAGCTCAGTTCAAGCCACACAACAAAAAGCAGATTCCCCAATGGAAGTTAAATTCTCAGAAGGACACGTGGAAGAAGTTCATAGAAAAATATTAGACCATGCTTACATGATGGATGACGTATGGGAAAAAGAGACATCTCGATACGGAGACTGCTTTTCAGAAGAATACTTATCCGATTAGAATATGTCTCCAAGTCATGAACCTATCTTTAAAGACTAATTGGACAAGTGTCTCTTATTAATCACAAGCATGTTTAAAAATAGTTAAGTTTCGTCCTTTTGTGTAATAGTACTACAAATAATGTATCCATAAGGGATAAGGGTGTCGGACTTTTGAAATAAGGCACTAATGATGCCATGTGTGTAAATAGTGTGGATTTGTCTTTTATGAATATCCTTGGCTATAAAAGGAGACCTCTTGTAATATTTCAAGGCATAAGCAATAAGAATAAAAACCATCTTGTGTGCTTAAGAAAAAAATTTCTAACTCTCTTTTCTTTCTCCCTAAAAGCTTTAGTTATTGTATTCATGTCATAATTCCCCATACAGATGCAAGTATGCTCTACACCTGCCTCAACACGAGGATCTTGTGTATTAGAAAACATCTGACCATCGATCCATACTACGGTCCTCACTATTATGGAATGTCAGTTTTAATTGTTAGTCTATGTTATGCATATGGTTGGCTGTTTAATGACGATACAGTTAAGGCTGGTTTCATAGTATGTGAGGCTCCCGGACAGTGTGGTATCAGAGCCTCAACAGAAAGAAGGGGTGCATATGGCATGAATATAATAAATATAGTAAGTAAGGGAGAAAAATATTTAACCATGGCGCTATCACAACAAAACACTCATCCTATTACCACCACCTCTTCCCTATCACTTCCTAAACTCTGTAAAAAGACTGATACCCATAAAATAGAAAACCTTGTTGAGTATTCTTATGTTCCAGAAGATGCTCAAATTTCCGAAACAGTACATCCCCTTTTAAGCCCTTATAATATCTTCAAAAAATAAAGAACAATTACCAGATCCATCAGAAACCTAATCTCTACCAATCGCCCTCATATGAAAGAATACGTCTAGTTATCTCGACTAGACCAATGTAGTTTGAGAGCAACAAAACAAGAGCAGTATGTGGATTTAGAGATTCCTCAGAGTCTCATAAATCACTGGAAATTTGAAGGATACACAGCTTTACATTTTGGAGCAGTTAGACTCATCCTCTCTCTCCATGGAAGGAAAAATCAGACTGTCTTCTGCAAAATAGATCTCCTAGATTCGAGCTATCTCTATCATGAAAATGTTGTCATAGGGATTGTTCTGACCTCACTTCATGCGGGAAGCGTTGTTCTTACTGTTTTTCCAAATTATAATGTAAGCCTCAACGACAGCACCCTATCTACAAGACTAAAGGTCCAAGTTCAAATCATTGGATCTGACCTAGTTCCAGAGGTCATGTCTGCTACTCTCCATCACCAAATAATCTATCGTCTACAAAATCATTCGATAGATTTGCCTCTCACGGGATGTTCTTCTGATTCTCTGTTAGTAGTTACTAATAGAGAAGAAGATATACCCTCTATTTTTCAGATTCCAAGAAATATCACAAGGGAAGAACTAACTCAGTTAATTCCTCTTGAGTGGATAACAAACTATGAAAAAATCCATCAAGATAGAAGACAAATACAATCTCAAGAGGCCACCTTTAGAAAATCTGTTGACAAAACGGTCAAAACAATTTTCAAAAAACCAGATGAAGGATCGAGTTCAATTTCTCCTATTTTCCAGACCATGATGATCCGACCAATTCTCAAAGAAGATTGGTGCCCAATTCATGCTGTAACTAGTAAAGGAGAACCTATCTACACTGACAAGATAAATGGTCATTTTATTTGGGACGTAGATCCCAATAAATGTGACCCATGATGTGAATGTTGGATGCACGATAATGATCATGACAGAGATATTATCCTTCCGAAAAGAAAAAAACAACGGGGCGTGCAAACCATAACCAATCTGTTTATGTTATAAATCTCAATAGAACTATAAATATTTTATCATTACCAATCTGTTTTTTTACAAAACACACTATGATCTCTTTGTTACAAAACACTTAATATTTTTCATGGAAAACGACAAAAATACATCTTCATCTTTGTCTTATTTTTTTGTGAACGAATTTCTACCAGAGAGTTTTCCGAGACTTGAGAGTGGACACGTAATCCCTCACGTGACTAACTCAAACAATGAACAATCTTTTTCCGGAGGAATTCTTGAGCTCTCTAAGAGTCAACAGAGGATAATTACTTGTGTCTCTCCAGAAAACATAAGAGTAGACCTTATGAGTCTAAGAACATATTGAAACCTCCAATGATAATAATGGAAAACTCAACTGTTGACATGAAAAATATTATCCTTGACATCCCTATTGAAAATGATGTTGTGGAGTCCATAATCGACTTTGCTATGTGTCATGAAGCTAGAATCGATGCAATGAAGGGTTATGATCTTGTCTCTGACATTATCCTTCTCGAATCAGATTCTCGTGTCTCAGCTTTTCAATTGGATGGGTCGTTCAATGTGTTATCACTAGTTGGAGTGTATTTAAATCTGGATTATTTTCGTGTTCCTCCTCAACTTGTCAATGATCTATTAAGTACCGTGTTTGCCCTTCAACTTTCTGGATCACGAGGATAAGTGTTTGGCAGAGTGATTGGAGGGAAGATTAATGTTGCTAATGACATTTAGATTTTTGCCTCTACTTTCAAGAGGCGTGAAATCATTAGGGTGGTCATCACTGATGAGAATATTCAATTATTTAAAGATGATGATGTTCCTGTTAAAATAATAATGCAAGTGTGAGTAAATGAGGAAATAGTTCCGTATTGGATAGGAATATAGAGACTTGAGCATGTTGGAACAAAGGATTTTCAAGAAAGATGATTTTGGAAGATAAGAAGAAGAAGAGAGAAGAGAGAGAATTGAGAGTTTTTTATATGAATTATTTCTCACTGTATATAATTACAAACTCAACAACCCTTTATATAGGCAAACAATGCCCAAGCCCAATTAGACAAAATGCTAAAGCCCAAAATATGATTTCGACAGAATGTAATATCTGTTGTATTTGACTCTGTCGAATACAACTTACAACCTATATAAAAGCTATTCGGTATACACAACACATGAATTTTGATAGAACAAGAATTATACACTAACACACCCCCTAATTCATGTTCTCGAGACTTCTCATCCCAATGCCTTTCTTTAACTTGTCGAATCTGACCTTCTTCAGAGGTTTGGTAAATATGTCGGCTAGTTACACTTCTATCTTAAAATGTTTTATCTCAAGCTTCCCTTTGTTGACTTGATCCCTCAAAAAATGATACCTTCTTTCTATGTTTTTACTTCGACCATGACATACTGGGTGATTCGCCAGGTTTATAGCTGACTTATTGTCGACAAATAGATTCATCTTCTTAGGTTCCATTATCTCGAGTTCTTCAAGTAGCATTTCAATCCATGTTGTTTGGAATGCAACATATGATGCAACCATATATTTTGCTTCACATGATGACAAATCCACAATGCTTTGCTTCCTCAAACTCCAAGAGATTGGAGCACCTTCAATCATGAAAATGTAGCCTATAGTAATTTTCTTTTTGTCTTGATCTCCATTGAAATTTGAGTCAGTGTATCCATGAACTTCGACATTTATGATGTTCTTCGACTTCTTTGGTAACAACACACCATGATCAATAGTTCCCTTTATGTATCTCAACACCCTCTTTACTGCGATGAGATGACATTCTTGTGGTTTTTCCATAAATCTACTCAACAATCTTACACTTTGGCAGATATCTGGTCTAGTATTGCAAAGATATCTCCAGGATCTAATTATTTGTTTGTAAAGGGTCGAACTTACAAACTTATCATTCGTTTCCTTTTTCAACTTTGATACAGTTTCTAACAGAGGGGAAACTTCATTACAATTGCTCATTTTAAACCTCTTCAAAATATCTTGAGCATACTTTGTTTGATGCAAGAATACTCCTTCTTCAGTGTCTTTGAATTCCATCCCTAGGAAATATGAGAGATTCCCTAAGTCAAACATTTCGAATTCCTGCATTAATTTCAACTTTACCTTCATTATCTCAGCTTTGTCTGCTCCTGTAATGAGTAAGTCATCAACATAGAGGCATAAAATGATTTGAATCACACTATCAATATCATTTACATACACTCCATGTTCAGAGACACACTTTTTGAAACCTGCGTCGATTAGGAAGCTATCTATCCTCTTATTATAAGCTCTAGGAGCTTACTTCAAACCATAAAGAGCCTTCCTTAATCTATATACTTTTGACTCCTTCCCTTTGACGTCGAATCCTGGTGGTTGAGTAACATAGACTTCTTCTTCCAATGGACCATTCAAGAATGCTGACTTTACATCTAGTTGATGCATTTTCCATCCTCTATATGCTGCTGTCTAGACAATAATTCTGATTGTTTCTAACCTCGCAACAAGCACATATACTTCGTCGAAGTCAATACCAGGTTTTTGTAGAAAATCTATGGCCACCAGTCTTGCTTTATACTTTGCAATCTCACCATTTGGCCTTCGTTTCACCTTGTAAATCCACTTTACATTTATTGCTTTCTTGTTGGTTCTTCCGACAAGCTCACAGGTCTTGTTCTTCTCAAGAGCTCTAAGTTCTTATTTCATGGCTTCACACCAATTTGAATTGCTCAAGGCTTCGTCCAAGTCAATTGGTTCTTCTTCAGCCATCATCATGGCTTCTTTGATTAAGTCACCATCTGCATTGACAACTTGATCTAGAAACCTTTCATATCCAGTTAGCCTGGTCGACTCATCTCTCGTTCTTGTTGACCTTCTTTCATTCTGCACAGGTGGTTCTTCATTTTGACTAGTTGAAGTATCACCTTGTTCATTTTGACTTGTTGATGCTTCATTCGGTTCATTTTCATTGAACACAATTGTGATTGTGTGTGATTCTTGTCGAACTGAACTTTGACTCCATTCCCACCCTTTTCTTTCGTCTACAAGAACATCTCGACTGATCACTAGTTTATCTTTATTTGGCGAATACAACTTGTATGCATCCGTAGAATGATAACCTATGAGCACCATGACTTCACTTTGATCATCCAGCTTCTTTCTCAATTGTTCAAGTACATGCCTAAAGCACATTGATCCAAAAACTCTAAGATGACTCACATTTGGCTTCGACCCTGTCCAAGCCTCATGCGGTGTCTTTTCGGTCATCCTCTTCGTTGGTCATCTATTTAGAATATATATTAGTGTCGAAGCTACTTCAGCCCAAAATCTCTTAGACATATCTTTAGCTTCCAACATACTTCTCGTCATCTTCAATATACTTCTATTATTTCTCTCAGCAATGCCATTATGATGAGGCGTATAGGGTGCAATAACCTCATGATCTATACCTTCCTCATTGCAAAATCTAGCAAATTCAGCAGACGTATATTCACCACCACCATCAGTTTGTAACTTCTTCAATTTGCATCCACTTTGTTTCTTAGCATACATCTTGAACTTCTTGAACCGTGTGAATACATCACTCATCTTTTCAATAAGGTAAATCCACATATGTCTGGTGAATTCATCAATGAAAGTAAGGAAGTACCTGTTACCTCCATTTGATTTTACTTCAAAGGATCCACACACATCAAAATGAACCAACTCTAGTTTTTGCTTTGATTTTACGGGCAAGCCATGTTTGAATGCCTTCCTTCCCTGTTTCTCTTTGCAGCATTCCTTGCATACATGCTTTGGTTCCTTTACATACGGAAATCTAAACACCATCTTTTTCTGATTGAGCATGCATAAAATTTTGAAGTTTAAATGTCCATACCTGTGATGCCATAGCCATATTTTTTCTTCTTCTGTAGTCGAAGCAAGACATTTATGATCTGATGTGTTGAGTTCAACTTTGAAAGTTTTGTTCTCCGCCAATAGTGCTTCCATTATTAGCTTTCCATCAGCCCTATATACCTTAATCTGATTTTTCTCCATGTTCATATTGAAGCCTTTTACAATTAACTAACCCACACTTATCAAGTTACTTGTCATATAAGGTACATATAGTATTTCAGTGATAGTAGCTTTTCGACCATCCTTCCTGACAATCAAAATATCTCCTTTACCACCTGATTTGATGTGTCTGCCATCTGCAAACTTTATCACCTTTTCGACTGACTCATCTAACTTGGTAAACCAGTTTTTATTGCGAGTCATGTGGTTACTACATCTTGAATCTAGATACCACATGTTGTTTTTCTCAGTGTTCGACTGAGTGTTCACCATCAACAACACATAATCTAAATCACTATCTCCAGCTCGTGCATATTGAGCTTCATCACTATCTTTCACCCTTACAACTTTCTTTCTTCGACAATCTCTATCATAGTGACTAAAACCTTGACAATTGTAACATTGCACCTCTTTCGTGTCAATTTTCTTCCCAGAATACTTGTTGCCCACACCTTTTTTTTATCGAATCAGTATTATTGCTTGACTTCTCATCACTAGCAAGATTCTTTCGCTGCTTCGACTTCTCTTTTCCAGCTTTCTTGCTGAATCTTGATTGCAATGCATGTTCATTCACCTTCTCTCTTTCTGATTTTCTATGCTTCAACCTTATTTCATGAGCCTCCAATGAAGCTTGAAGTTCTTCTAACTTCATCTCAGATAGATTCTTGGCCTCTTCAATTGTCACAACAATGTAGCTAAAATATGCAATTAAGGATCTCAACACCTTTTATATCTTTTGCAGATCCGTAACCGACTCACCACATGCCTTCATCTGGTTTGTTTGCGTCACAACTCTTGAGAATTATGCAGAAATTGATTCATCTTCCTTCATCTGAAGCATCCCGTATTGCTTCCTTAGTGTCTGTAACTTCACCGTCTTCACCTTCTCATCTCCACCATACAAGGTTTTTAGCTTTTTCCAAGCTCCTTTTGTTGTTTCTTCTTTAATTATTTTTTCGAATACATCAAAATCCACACACTGGTGAATAAAGAACAATGCTTTAGCATATTTCTTCCTCTGATATTTGTGCGCAGTTTTCTGGGCTTCCGTCGCATCTGCTTCCAGTTCTTATACTCCATCATTCAAGATTTCAACAACATCTTGAAATCTGAAAATAACTTTCATCTGCGCAACCCACCTGATAGTTTTCACCTTTGAAAATCGGTAGGTTCGCTGGAAAGTGTGTTGATGTTGTTGTTCCATTTGTCATTAGATTCTCTCTGAATCGCAATGAGCTATGTTATACCAATTTGTTGGAACAAAGGATTTTCAAGAAAGATGATTTTGGAAGAGAAGAAGAAGAAGAGAGAAGAGAGAGAATTGTGAGTTTTTTTTATATGAATTATTTCTCACTGTATATATTTACAAACTCAACAACCCTTTATATAGGCAAACAATGCCCAGACCCAATTAGACAAAATGCTAAAGCCTAAAACATGATTTCGACAGACTGCAATATCTGTTGTATCGACTCTGTCAAATACAACTTCCAACCTATACAAAAGCTATTCGACATACACTACACATGCATTTTGAAAAAACAAGAATTATACATCTAATAGAGAATATATAAGTGGGAGAACCCACTCACCTATCACCTTAAGGTTTTAGGTGGATAAG